CAGCCGTGACGCGCGGGCAGCGGTCGCTCTGCAGCTGGGCTTTCAATCGCAAGCAGCTGAGGTTTAATTCAGCCAAAAGGATCTTCTGCCGGTGACTGGAAAAGCATGAGGCCTGCGCTTCCTTCCTTCTGCCCCCCGCGCTTCTTACGCGGCTTCGGCCCTTACCTGCGCCGAAGGCTCGAGGTGCCCCCGCCGGTGGAAACACCTGCTGATTCCCTGGGAACAGCCTCCTCGAGACCGAGTTACCCTCCCAGTTAGGTTAGGAGCAAACTTCAGAGTCAGAAACCAGTCTTCTTCAGACCCACAGCCCACAAAAAGATCTCGCAGGAGATGTTCAGTCAATGCTTTCTCAACTGTAAAATTGCTTCATTTTCTGGGATGAAGGCCATTGAAAGAGTAGGAGCAAAAGACCCCGTTTTCTTTCTTTGATGTTATAAGCAGGAGCAGCAAATGCAAACCAGAAGTCACTGCAGTTCAAACCAAATGCCAAAATTAAATTATGAGCACTTTCTAAGAAGCTACACCAAAGGATATCTGCATCAGAATGGCCCTGCCTGGCACATGTCAACAGCTTTTGCAACTTTTTTTTTTTTTTTTCCAAACCAGTGGTGAGGATACAGGAGGAGGTACAGGGTGATGAGGAGCTTTCTCAGACGAGACACGCACACACACACACACACACACACACACACGCCCCTGCTGGACCAGAAGCATCATTTGCCAGCTTACAGGCCATTACAGGCAAACTGCAGCAGTACACCTGTACTGAGCCCCTCCCTCAGGACACTGCTGGCTTGCACTGCTCTGCTGTACTGATTCTTGAGTCAGGGCTAAAATGGAGCCAACAGCCACCCTACATACCTGGTTCAGTGTCTCTGAACATCCCTGCAGTTGGACACTGCTACCTGTGCAGTGCCTGTGACCAGTACCTGCAGCTGTGAAGGCAATGGAAATTTTCCATTTAAAGGGAGACTGCAGCACCCTCAAGAGAAGGCCTAAGGAGATGACTAGGGAGTGGTGGGAGCAGGACAGGGTGGATTTCTGGAGGCCTCCTCAACCTGAAAGGATCCACCATTGCAAAGTGGAGAAAGCATGGGGCAAGCACGCACAAACCAGAACAAAGACGGGCTCTTCCTCACAGCTTGTCTCAACCTGTGGAGGATAGTCCTGCCAAAGAGATGACAGACTGGGATTTACCAACTGCTAAGCTCTTACATATCTCCCAGAATTGCTACCATTTTCCAGGGCTAGGCTGCATCCCCAAGAAGGACTAGCTTCAGTAGATTCCCCTTCCTAGCCAGTGGGGTCAGTTTTGGCAAGCAGTAGGGCAGACTGCTTGCCGGTTTACCCTGTGCCATGTGCATTTATCAAGGCTTGTATCTGTATCCCATCACCTCACAACTCTAAACATTAGGGACTAGTAGGGAGCCCATCTGAAAGTAGTGACACCAGAACCCTCCTCTGTACCTACAGCACCACTTTTCACAGATGCAAACTTTTGCATGCCCCTGATATATTTCAAACCACCATGTAAGAAAATGCTTTTCTCCTATAAGCACTGAAACATCTGCACTGAGGACTGTCAGGCCCACACACATACCCCATGTCATGCCAAGGAGGAACTTATGACAGCCTTCAGCTGAGCAGGACTGCCTTCCCTCAACCAGGCGTTTGGACTGAGCTTATTGCATCTCCAGCCTAGAAACTGTTCTATTCTTTTGCCATTCAATAATATTACTGACTACCTGTGAACATACAGTTAAGGTTCTAATTTTCAGTACTAGGATAATTGTTTTGGTTTTTTTCCTGAGATTCTCTCACATTCTTCTGGACAAGTCAGAAAACAGGAACCACAGCTACTTCAGAAGAGCAGGTGGTGCACCGAACGTGAGGACACGTGTGCTCCATCCATGCCTTTGCAAGCAACTGGACTTAGGAGTGATTGGTCTCTCCTCCTTCCTTTAGGCGAGTATTTCTCCAGGAGACAAGCAGCACTTGTTACTTCCCTGCCACTCAAGGAATCAGGGCTGCTGCAGCACAGCCTTCCTCTACAGCAACTTAAAAGAAAATGGGGAAGCCCGCACAATTTGATATTTTATTTATTTTTTTCTGAAGCGTATTGTACACCAAATATCCCATTGGCAGGAAAGCGCATTCAATGTTTAGAAGCCAAACAGTCACTTTCATTTTAACAAACACAACTACAAAGTAAAAATAAACCACAAAATAATGAACTGCATGTTCATAACATACAAAAATTGCTGCCTACTCAGTAGGTAACTGCAACATTCCAACTCCTGAATATATATATATATATATAAATGTACATTTTTGTAACAAAAATAGACTTTGGGAGGTGTGGGGTATTTTTTTGCTTACATTTCGTCCCCCAGGGCTTTCTTGTGCTCCCCTCCCCACTAATTTCCCGTTCTCCCTTACATTATTTGTAGTAACATCCCTTTCACTTTAAGGCAAGATGCAAAGCATCCATTCACACAAATGCATGACGTCAGCAAGGCTTCACAAAAAGGCACCAAGACTTGAAACTTTAAAAACAAAACTTCTGCCACATGTGAGTGTCTCATCAGGTGATATTTACAAAGCATCACTCTAACATGCTCAAATACAGTAAGTGCTGTTCCCAAAGAAGTTTGAAACTCATTACAGCATTGTCACTGAAATAGAATCAACATTTACAAAATATGTCCCTGCAAACTCCAAATAATACAATATGGCTATGCAAAGATTTTTCACATCAATAGTACCTAAAGGAAAGCAAAACCATGACACAGTTACAATTTACATTAGCTACATACTTAATCAAAAGTCCTTTCTTTCTAATAAAAGACTATTGTTTAGGGGGAAAATTATACTAACTTACATCCACAATCCATGCAAATTAAGTCATTCAACATAGGTGGAAAACTTAAATGGCAATTGTTTCAGGCAGCTGAAGTTTAATAGCCTTGCAACGTATGGTGCTGGGGAAGTAATTAGAGACTCTATGTCTGATAGTACCAATGGAAAAGGTGAATTCTCCTGTTCTAGAAGGTAATCTCAGCAAATCTCAATTGTCCGTGGAGAAAAGGCTGATGTCATGTCTGAAAGTGCTGAGGTCACCTGTGAGCTGAAATTGTTGGTGATCCCTGGAGATGAGAAGGAGGTGGCCACTTGGGTCTGAAAAGTGGCAGTGCCAGAGGGGTAAGTGGTTGCTACAGAAGGAGATGGGAATGTGGTGTGCGCAGGGGAGGGGTAGGAAGAGGGAGCAGGGGAGGAGTACACTGTGCGTACTGGTGAGGGGTAAGTGGTGGCAATGGAGGAAGGGTAGGATGTAGTCACAGAGGATGAGTAGGCAGGAATTTGGGAAGCAGTTGAGACCGAAGCTGTCTTTTCCACTTTCTTGTCCTTTTGCCTAAGGTGAATTTTAGTGTGTCTCTTCCTTTCATCACTTCTGGCAAACTTTCTGCCACAAATGTCACAGGCAAACGGCTTCTCTCCTGTGTGCGTGCGGATGTGTGTAGTCAAGTGGTCACTCCTGCTGA